CCAATGGCCGCCACGGCTGGTGCGCTGCGGCCGGCGCAGCGCGATGATCCGAAGCCAGGAGCCGGGTGCTTATCCTGGTCTCCCATGGGGTGTAGGGCCCAAGGACTTGGGCCATCCTCCACTGCCTTCCCTGGCCACAGCAGAGAGCTGGCCTGGAAGAGGGGCAACTGGGACAGAATCCGGTGCCCTGACCGGGACTAGAACCCGGTGTGCTGGTGCCGCTAGGTGGAGGATTAGCCTATTGAGCCGTGGTGCCGGCCAATACTTTAATTTTTTAATAAATTTTTAACATGACCTCATAAGTCCTCATACATTTTAGAAATTTAAAAATATGATTCTTAAATTCACTGTTTAAAAAATGCTACGCAGTTTTAGAAATTAAAGTATTATTGTAAAAATTTCAATTGTTCAATAACATAAAATTTAAAACACAATAAAGATTTATAAAACTAAGCAACCTATATATGCTATGATATCATCTCTGCATATATAGGACAATTTTATATAATTGTCATTGCTGTGAGTTTTGCTTGTGCCAGTCAGAAAGCCCCACCAAGACTACCCATGCATCACTGTTTATACTACAAAAAAGAATTCACATCAAAATACATTTGTACCAAGATACTGTTCAGGGGGCTGGCAAGGTGGCATAGGAGTGCCCGCATCCCACATGGTGCCAGTTTGAGTCCTGGCTGCCCGACTTCTAATCCAGCTCTATGCTAATGTGCCTGGGAAAGTAGTGGAAGATGGTCTAAGTGCTTGGGCTCCTGCACCCGTTTGAGAGACCCAGAAGTAGCACCTGGCTCCTGGTCCTAGCTCCTGACTTAGGTTTGGCCCAGCCCTAGCCATTATTGTCATTTGGGGAGTGAACCAGAGGTTGGAGGCTAGCTTGCTCTCCACCCGCCTTTCTCTCTGTAATTCTTTGAAGTAAATAAAATAAATGTTTACCAAACAAAGAAACAAACAAAAAAAGATAGTATGTAGACCTGGCTTAGTCACCAGCATTAGACTTCTATTCTCCACAAGATAATCATTTAATACGTACAAAGGTATTACACAGTCTTTTCCATGATCACTTTAAGTCATTATATAGCACATTTTGGGTAGTTGTTTGTATAACAGAAAATACAAATTGTTGTTCAATTTTGTTACTGCTTCAAAATTTCAATAGAAACAAATAAAGCTTCCGACTTAAAGTATCACGAGAGTGTAAGGCAACTGTTCACAAACAAGATCACCACTTCATTTTTAGTTGCTTATTCATATCATGATCATCATTTTCCCATTCTTTATATGGGAATAAATTAGATTCCAAACTGACATTGGTAGAATTCTCTTCCTTAGTGCTAAATTGTCAGTACATGTTTTCATTAAACAGTGTTATTACTCTCACCTAAAAACAGTGAACCCCATTCACATAAATTAATGCTATCCATGTAAATTGTTTCAATGCATTTACACCTTAAAGCACAGTTTTATATTTGGGAATTCCAAGGTATTTTTATTTAATAAAATGGTTTTATGAGGCATTATTATTTATGACTGCGATTCATTCCTTAACTGATTTATCTACCTCTGGTACTGCTTTTTACTAGAATTTTTAAAAAATATAACTTTTAGATTCACAGAAAAACTAAACAGAATGTCCTGAGTTCACATGTACCCTCCCCTCATAGCCTCTTCCACTATCAACAACCTCCATGAAAATGGAATATTTGCCACAACCAAGGAAACTACCTTGACCAATCATTACCACTGCAAGTTCATGGTAAACGTCAGTGCTCACTCTTGGTGTTGCACATTTTATGTTTTGACAATTGTATGATGCCAATCGCCACTATTATAGTACCATATAGAACAATCTCGCTGCACTAAAAACTTCTGTGCTGCTCCTATTCATTTCTCTCTTCTTCATAACCTCTGGAAACAACTTACCTTTTTATCCTCTCCATAGTTTTACCTTTTCCAGAATGTCATATAGTTGGAATTGTACAGGACGACGCCTTTTCAGACTAGTTTCTTTCACTCAGTATGTTTCTGAGATTGCTCCACATCTTTTCTTGGGTAAAAACTTTTATTTTTTAGGGTGAATAATATTCCCTCATCTAAATATACCACCATTTGTCTACTCATTCACATAATGAAGGGCATTTTGGCCAATAAAACAACACCATGAATAATAATTTGCAGGTTAGTGTATAGACATGAGCTTTCAGTTCCTTTAGATAAATACCAAGAAGCATGAATATTAAATAATATGACAAAAATATGTTTAATTGCTTAAGAAATCACCAGATTGTCTTTCCAAAATGGATGCACCATTTGTATTCCCAGCAGTATTGTGTTCCTATTGAGCTCCTATTGCTCCACACTGTTATGTGTACTTGAAGTCGTCAGTATTTGCATTCTGGTAATTCTAATAGAATATAGTGTTTTACATCGTTACTTCTTAGCTCTTATAAATCTCTTTTAATTGTTGCTAAGCATAAATATCATATCATTCCTTGATTTTTAGATGTAATAGCTTTTAGTTGCTCATGTCTTAAAAAATGTCACTTTCCAACAACCTCTACAAGACCTTACATTTATACCGAACACATCCCCACCACACCTCACCAGAGACATGGAAACAGATGTGATGAGTCCAACAGACCCTTCTTGCTATTCTACCAGCCTTGGTCCTGCCATTTTGTGCTAATTTCCAACTAATTCCAGGAAGCATTGACTAATAAAGTTTTAAAGTAGTGTTTCCATGAATGGTATGTGTGAGTACTCTTTAAAATTTAAATTATTTCTATAAAAATCTTTTTAAAACACAATCCACATAAATACTTTTCTTTCTGGCAGTATCACAAGCCCCATGTGCAGAAAATCCCCTCTTGGAACAGAGTGCTTAAAGGCTTTGTAAAATATTTAAGCACATTTTAAAAGTATGACAGAATGAGGAGGAAATAAGGATTCCAGGGAGAGTGTTCTCACTGGCATGTGTGTAGGAGCCCTGCCAGTCTCTGACGGCCAGGATCTGGCTTTCTGAGGGCCCCACACATGGAAGGGGCAGGAACAGGAGCAGGGCTGGCATCCCGCAGAATGGTGGTGCTCATCAGAAACCCCACATAAAGGCTGGGCCTGGGCCTGAAAGGGAGGAAATCTCAGCCAGGGAACTCAGGAAAAACACTCTGTGAAATGAGATCCCATGGCCAGCTTCTGGCAGAGGAAAGAACAGAAAAGCAAAATATGTTTTCCTGATAAGAACGTTCTACATCAGGCATGTGGTGATCATTACACAGGCGTGTGAAGTTCTTAGGACTCATTGAACGGGTATATTGTACTGCATGAAAATTATGCCTTCATAATAAGTATTTATGAAAGAAGCTATCATCACAAAATTCAAACCAACTAGTAGTGAATTAGGAGCTTAAGTTTAGAACTTCTGCTAATGTGTGCTTGGTAGTAAATTTGACAACAATCAGTGCTATTCAGTTTAATAAATGAGAATTTAACCATAAAAATAAAGGGAGAAACCAGCCAGAAGCAGAACAAATTGTCCTTAAAAGAAACCATCTTAAATGCAAGCCACAGAAAAGTTCCAGGAAACAAAAACTCAAACAAATGACTGAACAACAAATTATACAAATTGCTCCCATAGATGCTAGTATTTTCAGAAAAAAACTTGAATAAATAGATGCTATTGAAACTTTGGCTTAGAAATCAAAGATTATGAAAATTGGATAGAATATTAGAAAAAAGTAGTAAAATAGAATGCCTAATAATGACAAAATTAACAATTGAAATCACAAACACAATAGATTAGTTCATATCAGACCATTAGGAGTTTCAGTGTAACTAGCTTAGGTTCTCTAAGAAACAATGAAGTGGACAAGTTACTCAAAAACATTATATACATGCAGAACAAACTCATTCACAAAGCCCCAGATAATTTGGATGTTTCCATAGCTTTTAAAATAAGCAAAGAGAGAACTTCTTGTCCCAAGGACTCTACAGATAAGTTTACCAGACACAGACATTAGCACCAACCTGCCAGGCACTGAACATTTGTGCTATCAAAAAATATAGTTTGGGGGAGATATTATTTAAGTATGTTTACAATTAATCAAACTATTCTGGAAATTCTGAAACTTTTTCCAAACCTTAAGAGATCACTGAAATTGTGTTCCCCCTCTTGCCTTTTTCTGAACTTAAATGAATTATAATATATGTTCATTCATTATCATTTCACAAAAAGTCTCCCTGCGATTTCATCAGATTTGTTTGTCATACTGCATATGCAATTTTAAAGAAAGCTACTAAAGTAATTGGATTCTTATGAATCATACATAAGTACTTATGATTAATACATTTAAAATTAACCATCATAAATTCAACAGATGCATTTCCATCTTGACCTTTACTTAAAAGCTTTATAAGTAGCAAATACATTTTATATTTGATATTTTTATGAAAAACCTTGTACTTACTATTAGATGCTGTGTTTAAGAATTTATAAATGATTACTCTTTAGCTATGATATTGATCATAAATAAAGTACTAGAAGATAAAAATCAGTTGAAAACTTAAATCCTACAACAATTTAATGAGACAAATGGAAGCATGTTTAAAGGAAAATTTTTATCCTTCTATTTGAAAGATAAGTACTTTATTTAAGCTAAAAATTTTGCAAAATAATTTTGTAACTTTGAAATAGTATGCACAACTCATTAGCATAAAAGTGTTTGGTAAGTCAATTGTTCATCAATTTCTGAATCGTAAATTATTACTAATAATGATTAAGCTGCCACAGCTTTATCAAAGTTACATATTTTGTAACATGGGTTCCATGTAATACAGCCTAAACACCCATGTGGCTGACACCAAAACCATGATCAGGTTTCTCTGGTTGAGCAGCGACACTGTCACCAATCCCATGACTGCTTCCCAGACACCTGCATCAGGCCAGACATTCCTTCACAGCATGGATACCCCCAGACAGAACTGGTACTCACAGCTGGAGAAAATCAGCGGGCAGGAGTGCTCATCCATGGGGAAGTTGTGCAGCTGCAGCTGGCACTCTGCATTGATGGTGAGCCTGTGCGAAAAGGCAAGCATCACTCTGGGTCAGCGACAACACAGCAAAGGCCCCAGGCAAGGACATCAGGGCAGTAAAGGCACCAAAGTGCAGGGGAGAGAGGGCAGCTCACTCAGTGCAGGGGCTGGCCCGTGCAATTCATTCCTGGCAACTGCATCACTCAGTCAGGGAGACCCTTTTCATTGCACTGATATTATGTTATTTTGATTTTACTTTTAACTATTATCATCATCAGAGAGAATTCCAGATAGTGATATTCCAAACTGTGTCTAGAAATACAAGCCGAGTGAGACTAGAGACAAATGAAACCAGTTGTTATATGTAGGCCATTTTCAAGCTGTTTTCAACTGAATTAAATCCTCCCTTCATTCTTTAAATTTGTATTTATTTGGATTGGAAAGGCAGAGCAACAGAGAGAGACCTTCCATATGCTGGTTCACTCCCCAGATGCCTACAGCAGAGGGAAGCTATGGGCACATCGGCAGGAGATCTAACTGGAAGTGGAGCAGGGACTCAGACTCAGCCATCTCAACATGGGATGGTGATGACTCAAACTGCATCTTAATTACTCCCATCAAATGCCTGCACCCTTACTTCCATTCTGAATCCAGTGTATTTTTCTAACAAGGTATAATTTCATATTAATCCATTTGAAGGTAGATTTCTTATTTGGACAACTCCCAACTATTTCAAGAAGTGGGTGTGGCTCTACCATGTGCTACATTGCATCCTCCCAGAGCAGAGACCCCTGTGATTCAGGACCCCCCACGTCTCCACTCTTGTTTGCTGAACTCAATTCATTTCAGGATCTCATTTCTACTGCTTTAAGATTGGTAGGGGAACACATTTTACAAATTCCAGCTCTCTCAACTTATTTCATCACTAGAGCTCCCTGTGGTAGCCTTTATGTTATTGTTGTTCCCTGCCTGGCAAAATTATTATTTCTCTGAAACTTTAAAATTCTCTAAGCTGCTTATTTTTATGTTTATCTGATCCTATATTTGTGCTGGGGACACTTGTTTAACATTAGAAGGCACAGATTTCTCCTTGTGGCCACAAATCACCTATAATTAAAAGCTCCCCATACTGGATGTAAGGTGAGAGAGGAGAGCACTCAGGGCTCTAGATGCAAAGGTAATCCAGAGGGCTTATGGTGGTGTCACTGAACTAGGAGGCAGTAGGGACTTATGCCAGAGGAAGGATACAAATCACGTTCCCTGTCCTGTATTGCATTTGATGACTCCAAGAACCTAGCACCCAGAAGGAACATTTTGGGCTAGAGATGGGCAGGTGGGATCCTCAGCATGAATACAGCTTTAAAGTCACACAACCGAGTGAGCTAAGTAAGCAGAGAGGTATGAAGTGACAGGCACCACGTCCTGAGCTAGAAAGAGCAGAACCAGGAGAAGCAGTGCTAAGGGCACTGGCAGGAGGTCTAGTGTCTTGAGAGGTGGAGAAAGAGACTGTCAGAAAGGAGAATGCCCAGTCCTACAGGGAGATGCAGGAAGACAGGAGAGTACAATGAATCTCACGTCCCTCAGAGGACATAGCTAGGGGTGTGCCCTGCTCCTGGGTGCTAGGGCTGCTGAGGGGTGTCCCATTGCTAAGAGATGTCACCATGGGCTCAAGCACATTCAGACCATACTGGTAGAGATGTGTACTTAGGACAAATTCCTAACACCCATTCCCAGCAGTGACTTTGGCAAGTCTTCTGGGTTTCTGTGTCACTTCCCTTAAGGATGTGTTGGGGAAATGCCAACTTTGCCCTTTTCCTTGTGGTCTTAAACTTGGCTATAATTACATTTGTTAATCAAGACTCCTACACATCTGCATTTTCCTAGCTGAGTGGACCCAGGAGTTAAAGACATCAATTATAATTTTCACAGCCACTTCTAGCAGAAATGGATTCTGATGAAGGAATGAGTTTATATTCATGGCATATCATTTGTATGCCTTTATTTTTACACACTTGGCATTAGTACAAACTTTTCAAGATGCTGTCTTATGTCAAATGAAAGGGAATAGAACTTAGAGATGAGAATAGGGTCTTACCCTGACAATGATTTAAATTACTGCTCCAAAATTAGATCATGCTTAGATTTGCATGGTTATAGAGGAAGAATTTGTTCTAGTGTTCTACAGCACAATAGAAAACCTATACTCTCTAATTTATGATATATTTTAAAATAAATAGGGAAGGACAATCTGAGGTTTCCCAAAACATAGACTGAGGAGTATTTGAAAGGAATGGAAATGCTGAGTACACTGACTGGATCACTGCACTGCATACATGTATCAAAGTATCACACTGTACCCCATAAACACATAGAAACATTATGTGTCAATCAAAAAAATCCACACAGCATTTTACCTTAAAGTGTAAAGGATTTTTCCATCATTCCAAATTCTGAGGAGCTGGTTGGGCGTGGTGATCCAATGAGCCTCAGCAGTCTTAGAGTTGCGGAAGATAGTATCTGGGATCCATATTAACCCCACCATGTTGCTGTTCAGAGTAAGTATTTTCATTGTGCTGTTGAATCGAAGGCGACTGTCTGTCCAGGTCTGAGCAAAAAATATGTCAATTTGGTATTCCTGAAATAGAGCAAAAGGAGAAGGAAGGCAGTCCAATTAGTGAATTTTTATATGCTTTCATTTCTTTGTCAAAAGTTTGTTTTTCTTCAACAGCTACATTCTTACCTTCCCACTTCTCTTTCTATTAATGCTTAGCACTGGCTTAATATGGAAAGCATTCAACAAATGATAGCCCATGTGATTAGTCAATAATGTGGTCACATATATGATATAACATAATGCTCTGTAAGTGTTAAATTGCAACATATATTTAATGTATGATGGGAGGCCAAGAGAGATGGTGCAATATAAGGGGTCTTCACAAATCTTGTGGAACATGTGATCCCTTAAATTCTATTTTCCAAAATCTTTTTGAAATATCCTATATACTTTGAAATAAAAATATATAAATGTATTTTGAAATATATCTCAGAGTACGAATTCAGATCACAGTCCAAGCCCTGACAAGCAGTATGACCCATTCAGCCATTGTTCTCTAACTTGTAAAATGCAGAAAATAGTAGCATCTACCTCCTCAAGGTGTTATAAAAATAAAAAGATTAAACAAAAAACCACTAGATCCAGGCATAGAATATATAATCCATAAATATTATCTGATATATTAAGATTATTACTTTTACTCAAGACTTTTGCAAAGCAACACAATCCAAAATAAAAAGACAAGTAAGACATAAGCAACAAAGAACAATGGACAGAACAACCCCAAGCCAAACTCTGATTCCAACAAAAGGCTGGAAGTGTTCAAATTACAGTGGCAAAGCTGTTCCAGTGCTCCCAGTGCCCAATGCGACTTTGCTGTGACCATCAGACAACTGGAACATGAGTGACACTACGAAGCCTAAAGAAGTATCTCTAGGCTGGCTAGATCATTTCAGAGGCCATTCCCCTAGTCATAGTACAAATAATCATCATTAAGTCTAACATAGAAAGGACAAAGAGGCTACTTATTCAATGAATCAATATCTTTCGTAGTTGAGTGTCAAGTCAGTAGTTCTCAACAAATCCCACAGTTATCCTCCCATTGAGTTTCCAGTGAAAGACCTTTTCTGAGATAGACAAGTCAACTGGCTGTTCATTACCAAATCCACTCATTTATTGTTGTTTTGTTGCTCTGACAATGCCAGGCCCTGCAAACCATCAGTGCCTCAGTGCTGTACCAACAAGAAAACGCCCTACCTTCATAGAGCTTATATCCTAGGCAGGAAGGCAGGCCACTGATAAATAGCTAGGGTAAAAATACAGCGTGCCTCATGGTCATAACGAGCACACAGAAACATAAGGCTCTGTATCAGAGTTCTCTTGAGAGGACAAAGGCATTTGAGCATTCGGTGTGGGAGGAATTACAATACAAGGAATCTAAGTGGTGTGCAAGCTTTGAAGCATTGGGGGAGCCAATGCCCAGGCAGCAGCAGTTGAGAGCAGATTTCCAGCAGAGGCTCCCCAGAGGAGCTGTGTGATGTCTCAGCAAACACAGGGCCCCGCAATTCCTGTGCTGGCCCAATGACAATGAATTAATAACCTCTGCCTCTTTACTGGCTTTCAAAACATGCACACGCCTCTCACCGACCACCTGGAAGTCCATAACCACACAGGAAAGAAGGATCTGAGAGGAAGTGTGTGTGTGTGTGTGTGTGTTGTGTGTGTGTTAGTTCTTGACATATAACCTAGCATATGTGAAGGATACAAAAATGGGACTCAAAAAGTTCTGAAACAAAACTAAACCAGGTAGTGTGGACTTTGGGGAGAACAAATGGTTTCAAGGATGTGGGACTGAGAGCAGGTGTCCTGCATGGATGAAATGGATTACAAAACTGACACCTATAGTAATAAGGTGGAATGGGTACCTAATGAGCATGTGACTCTTTGGGCAGAAGTTGGAAATAGAATGCTAATTTGCATGTGATGACTGCAATTGACTGTGCTTGGTAGGTTATCACAGGAAAGAAATTATCTCAGAAAAGAATCAGGCAGTTTGAAAGCAGTTATGAAACAGAAAAGAAAGATACAGCAAATTCAGGGCATGGGAGGGCTGGAAGAGGCAAAAGTTTCTCATCTCCATCAGAAAAGCTCAGAGACAATTGCTTTGAGTGTCAAAAGCCTATTGAAGAGCTTTGAGGAAATGATCAAAGCCATGGCAAAAGCCTCTAAGTAAATTAAGTCTTTAATCATGCAGATATGGCTCAAGGAAAAGAGTTAAGCTATGGCTCATCTATTGAGGGCTGATAGGATCAAATTACCTTCCAGTCACCTGTCCCTATCTGTAGGTTCTGCATTTGTAGATTCAACTAAGAGCAGACAGAAAATATTCCTGAAAAATGTTATCTCTAACTCAGTTGAACATCTACAGATTTTGAGTCATTCTTCCCTAAACAATACAGTATAACAACTACTTTCACAGCATTTGCATTGTGTTGGTGTCAACTCACCTAGAGATAATTTAAAGTATATAGAAGGATGTGTGTGGGTTCTATGCAAATGCTACATAGTTTCATATAAGGAACTTGAGAATCCATGGATTTTCATACCTGCAGGGGTGGGTTCCTGGAACTCTCCACAGTTGGTTGAATCTTTGGACGCACTACTCAGAGCCAGGAGGAGTGAACTGCATGTGATATCACACTGACCTCAGGCTCAGGTGAGATTGACCTTGAAGAAGGGAGAAGTGTATTTTCCACGGGGAGTGGGGATGAGATTTGGCTGCTACATACAGATCATGGTAGTGACTGGAGCTATTTCCAAATACTAGCTTCCCTTCTTGAAGGCATATGGTAGAATTACTCCCCCCCCTTCCTTTATGGGGCTGGGTGTGGTCACTTGTATATGATAAGGTGAGAAAGGAGCATAAGAGCAGGTGCCATTTCCAGGAGGGCACTTGAAGAGTCCACATGGGATTCACTTGCTCCTTCTCAAACCGTGAGATACTGCATGGGGCAGAGATCCTGCTGAGTTTTGTTAGATACACACTGTGGATAAGAATTACCCAGAGCAGTTCATGAGAAAAACAATCACCAGTGTGTCCTAGTTGGCACAATCAAGAAGGAGGAGAGGGGTTCTGGAATGTGGGGTGCCAGGACTTAAGAAGGCGCTAAAAATAACTTAGAGCCAAGACCTTGGAGAGGTGCAGAGTAAGCCACACAGGAAGATATTGGAACACTGTAGCTCCTGGAAGAGGGAACAGCAAGTTCAAATGCATCCCTGAGAAAATAAAAATTTTGCAGTACCAAATACACTGCATGAAGTGAATAGCCCCCTTCCTTTCTTTTGGTGACAGGATTTGGGTCATATGATAATGATTTCTGTGTAAATGTATAACAGGCTTTATTAGCACAAAGAACATACTCAGTACTTAAAATCAAATTTAGTATGTGAGAATGGCCATTGTGAAACATATAGGTACTTACAAATGTTGCTGCCTTCTTCCCTTTAATGTTGACTTATTGCATAAAGGAATGAGGAGAGAAGAATGAAAGGGTTCTCACAAGCATAGCTGGGACTGATCAATCTGATCAATAATAAGAGTGATCAGTATTCCTTATAAAGGTCATACATGCATTTTGGAAAGAACCTAAAATTGTTCAAATCTTATTTGTTTAACCTCAATATTATTCCATAGAAAATGAAATTCAGAAAGCTTAAAGGATGTTAACAGATATGCAATGTCTCAAAACTTTTTATTTCAGGAATTCCAAGTAAACCTTCGGAATGGGTCTATTCATTACTGAAGCATTATTGAATAACACTGTCCTTTCTCTCCCAATCTTCCCTGTTTTCCATCCCCACTAATGCACAGTTTATATCCTTTCATCTTAAAACACTTTTAAATGTAGATTTGAAATTGGCAAACCATACAGCAAGATGGGAGGCATGACCTAAAGTCCCTCCTAGTAGGCACAGGTGCATTCTGTATCAGGCACCTGGGTTACCGAGACACAGTAAGACCCTTCCTTCCAAGGGGTTTAAACCAAGACATAAAAGATTAAGTAACCTCCATTCAGTCACACAGCTAAGTAGCAATTATTATGAACTATGCAGTCAAAATTGACTTCCTAGTTTAGCAGAAACATAGGCAAGGGCTATAACCAATAATCACGTGGGAAATGACATTTCCACTAAACCAGGGTCCTTTTGCATTTTACTTGTTGAACTCTTTACTGGAGCATTAAGCCTTTGAATGTGATGTAAATTAAAGATATGTTATCTCAAAAGTGAAGAGGAGAAGGGGAAAAGGGAGGGGGAAAGGGAGGGAGGGAGAAAGCAAATATTCTACTCTCAGGATGGTATCTATGAATTGCATTGAAAAAATTAGAAATATTAATAGAAAAATTTAAAAAACAGAAGAAAGCAAACCAACAACAAAACAAAACAACAAAATCTGTTTCCTAAATACGACCTGAAAGGGGCTGCTGCAGCGGAAATGTGTTAGATTCCATGATGGGTAAGAGAGAACTCAAATGCACAAGTGTTCTCCATGTGCATCCGGCATATAAAGTTTGGCGTAATTTACCTTCCTTAGCCTCAGTTTCCCCATGTGTAAAACAGGAGCATTAGATTCAATGGAGGATTCTTCAAACTCTAAAATTCTGCATTTCCAGGGCAGATGCTTGGAGGAATGGTGGGAACACAAGTTAGGATGCCCAAGCACCTGCTAAAATAGACTCCGGAAGGCACAGCTCAAGAAGCTGGGTCTCTGCCACCCACCTGAATTCCTAGCTCCCAACTTTGGCCTGGCCCAGTCTCACCATTGTAGGCATTTGGAAAATGAACCAGTGGGTAGCAGCACTCTCTCTCTCACATAAATGAATGCAATTTAAAAATAGATAAAAAGGCCTACTGTTAGCCTTTCACAATTTTCATTACTTTCATTTTTTTTAAAGATTTATTTATTTGAGAGAAGAATTACAGACAGAGGTGGGAATAGACAGAAAGGTCTTCCATCCACTGGTTCACTCTCTAAATGGTCAGAGCTGGGCTGATCCGAAGCCAGGAGCCAGGAACTTCCT